CGGTCTTAATGGGGCAGAGTCTGCTAAATTCTATCCCAGTATTCACTTGCTCCTCCTTTGCCTATAATAAAGTCCCCACTTTAATAGACACTGTGTTTCACAGGTTCACCCTCAGCTGAGTGTCACCAGTAATGTCTGATTATTGACTTGTAGGCCAGAAGCCCTAGGAATTAACATCTGGCCTACAAATTAAGTTTTAGTACACTCGCACGTTGTGTAAACTCTATGTAGTTTCCAGACAAAGCTTGCCATTCGCTATGGTCGTCCTCCTTCCTATCTCCTGACCGTTGGTGCACTTTCTGGCTCAGGTTTTGTGGTGTTTATTTTCCAAGGTGCTGCTATTTGGTGGCTCACTGTCATTCACAGTCAAATCAATCCCACGTCCCCATGGTCATATGTCCCTTACCCACCTATTCTGTGACTCACCTTTGGCAGGGTGGCAGAAGAAGATGCCAGACTGTGAAGGAAGATTGCTATCAGCTGAGCAGACCCTCACCAGCCGAGCTCTGCAAATGAACCGCTGGCAGCACCCGGGGAAGGATGCCTGCTTTGCTGAGTGTGGGACCGGGGAAGGATGCCTGCTTTGCTGAGTGTGGGACCGGGGAAGGATGCCTGCTTTGCTGAGTGTGGGACCGGGGAAGGATGCCTGCTTTGCTGAGTGTGGAACCGGGGAAGGATGCCTGCTTTGCTGAGTGTGGGACCGGGGAAGGATGCCTGCTTTGCTGAGTGTGGGACTGAGAAAGGAGCCGGCAGGCAGGGGAGCCACACAGTAGCACTGGTACTCCCGAGGGCTGGACGCCCTAGACCCTATTCCCTACTTTGCCTTCTTTAGACAAAGGTATGTTTTTATCTTGTAGATTTCTGAAGTTAATTAAAGCTAATTTAGACAAGCGGCTTTTCAGCTTTTTTGGGTAGAGACCACATTAAGAAATACACTTTAGCCAGGCGTGGTGGCACACACCTTTAATCCCAGCACTGGGGAGGCAGAGGCAGGTGGATCTCTGTGAGTTCGAGGCCAGCCTGGTCTACATAGTGATTTCCAGGACAGCTGGGGCTACAGGGAGACCCTGTCTCAAAAACACCGAAAAAAAAAAAAAAAAAAGAAAAAGAAAAAAAATACACTTTAGTGTTCACTTGCCCTGATTTGTAACTGACACAAAGTTTCACAAACAATACCAAATACAGTGTATGATTTCTCTGATATTTTCTCTATTACTGCATTAAAAATATGATGATCACAATTTACTAAACTGATTTTACAGTCTGCAAATGGATTGCAATGAACAGCTTGAAAAATAGTGATATAATTCAATAGTCCCATATCACACATCAGAAAGCCAAGAAAGCCCTCTCCCATACCCTTCCCCCCAAACAGCAGAGCCACCTACTAAGATCACAAAGTGTTTAGAAGCGGAGCTTGGCCTCAAAGCCAGGTCTCAGGTCCGAGTCATACAGGCACTGTGTGAGTCAGGCCAGTGCCACTCCCACAGGCTCAAGCTCCTGGAAAGCCACGCCTCTCCTCCTCAGACTCCATGCACTGCTGCTCAGCCCCGCCTTCCTTCCCATTTTTATTTTTCCAGCCTGTGCCCACTCCTTTTAGCTTTCCCCCCGAATTCAGATACTTTTAAGCCTGGTGCAACCCATGCTGCACAACTTCTTGGCACAAAAGTCTGGGCTCTATTGACAGACGAAAGAAGGAGCTGATGAGGTCCCTGGGATGAAAAGCACCCTGAACAGGCTGGGGGACCTTGGACAAGGGCCCCAGTGACTGAATTGTCTGTTCCTTAGGTGTACAAAGGGACAATGGAACCTGAACATGACCCCTTTCTGAGGTTATTGGTGGGATCCAAGAAACACTTATCCTGCCCTGTGGCTTCTACAGGTTGGAGAGCACAAAAGCCTTGGTAATCCAATATAATGACAAAGCAACAGAAAGAGTCAGGAGGGTTCAGCTTTTTTGAACTGCTGATGAGGCCATCTTCTGTGCCAAACACTGCTGACCATTCTACTTGCATTCCATCCTTAAATGTAATCCTTAAACCCTGAGCTGTTGTTATATCAATTTACAGATGGGGGATTTGTAAGTTCACTTGGATGAACTCATTTCCCCAATATCACAAATTCAGACAGAATTTAGATCCAAGTCCAGGCTGGAAGCCAAGTTTGCTTGACCAAATCTGACTCCAAGCTGCCACCCTGCAGCCAACCAAGGTGGTATGGTAGCAATGACTTAGGCATAGTTCTTGCAAGTTGGCAGAGAGACAGGTCTATTCACAGCCTAATCCTTGGCTACGTATCATGTTGACAGGGTAAGAGGAGGTGAAGAAAGGATTCCTCACCCGTTCTTTCCAAAGAATGAGTTTGTAATTGCTCCTTCAGGGTTCTCAAGTCTAGCTGCACAGAGGTGCTACCAAGAGAGTGCTGTCTTGGGCTGAGCCTGTCCTGAACCAATTGCATCGTGTTCTCTGGGTTAGGAGCAGCTCTGGAATGTGAAAAGGCTTTTCTGGTAATTCTAAATATGTAACTAGAGCTGAGAAAAGTTACCTTAGGCCTGTGCATCATTTCACACTTGTCAAAGCTCTTTCTCACTAACGAGCTCATCTGAGTTGTGCAGCTGTTCTGGGGGCAGGCAGGGAGAACCCACTGCTGTCTTCTCACAAAGGACTATAAGGGAGGAGAATGCAGTCTTCTTTGGAATCTATTTCTCAGTCCTACCCAAAAGATCTGGCCTTGTTTCTTCTATTTCTAAGTAATGTGGAAAGAATTTCCTAACCTCAGCACACACTTCAGACTGGCACATGGGCCCTGGGGAGGAGAATGACTACCCTATGTGCACAGCACAACCCTGCAGGGTGAAGGCAACATCAAGAAATCACGGGAGGTGGGCAAGAAATGTGCATGGACCCAAGGATACTTGGGAACATGTGAAGGGAGTTTAAAAGGGGGCTGGGAGGATACGTGCTAGGGAGGTTCCTGATGGAGGGGTTTCCCTGGGAATCACTTTTAAGTAGAAAATGGACTTGATCTCATAGGGCTTTCTAGTTTTCAAACAGAATCTCTTTTAATTGCTATTAGACAAGGGACTTGTCAAAGACCACTCTGCTAGAAGGGGCAGAGCTGAAAGCCAATCACAAAGGCAACAGAAGTTTAAGCAGTCCTCAGGCAGAGTGAGATCTGCCTCTGATGAGCAGGCAGCAGATGCTGCCCAGGTAAGAAGGTCGCGGAGCCAGGGCAGAGAGGAGGTAGCTGGTCTTCACTGCAAACACTGGGTGGCCTGGAGTCTCAAGGCATGGAACCCAGAAGGGTGATCTGCTTTTCAGGGAGTATAGTTATTTCTCTGGTTCAAGTAACTAAAATATGGATGTGAAGAAAGTCCGGGGACACTGTAGGTATATAGAAAGAAGGAGAAAGGAACCAGGAAGAATTCTGGACTCTTCCATGGGAGAAAGCCACTGAAGTCCCAGATCAAGGGAAGGAGTAGTGTCAGGCTCACAAGTCTAGAAGGTGGCAGGTCTTCTGGAGGTCAGGAAAGAAAGTCTAGAGGAAGTAAGTTGTGCAAGTCAAGGTCAGCATGTAGCAGAGTGACTGATAAAACTCATGGCTTCAGTGGGGCAGAGCTATTAGTCCTCCAAACAGAAGCCCGAGATTCGTTTGCTCCCTGAGAACTCTATCAAGAGAACGTGGGGATGGGGACCAGTGTTCCTCTCCATATGGGCCAACACCCAAGTGTAGAGTCCTCACTCCTATCCACTCTGGGGACACCACAACACTTTAGGGGGGACCCTTCCTCTGCCACACCATCCCATTAACAGTGGTAAGGAGCCCCCAAACAGCAACAAAGCTCAAATAAGAAACTAGGGACTTCAGGACTGCTATCCCAGGTCCCAGGTTGTACGTGTACCCATGAATGAGCTCAGATCTGGGGGCAGAACACAGTGAAAAGGCCTCATAATGGTGGGGACCTGGTTTATCTCTGCTATCAACTTGCTGTTTGACCTTAGTAAGGCTCTTCCCATTTCTGGGGAAAGGGTTAGTGGGCTAGATGGCAACCACTATTCCCTTTGGGGAAGGATGTTTTAGTCCCCAGATCTCCTGTTAGCATCTCAGCCAGGCCTGCATTCACAAGAGGGAATGGGAGGTAGGAAGAGAACATTCCTATTTGTGTCCTGTCGTGGTCTTTGGATTTTCCAAAGTGGCCATATTCCACCTTTGCATCTGGCTTGGTGATTCCTCTGGCAAGCCTCCCTGTGGCCCTAACCACCATTCATCGTATTTTACAAGTTTGACTCATGCCTTGTTTGGGTTTGGCGTTGCTGCTGCCAAGGTCCAAGGCTGAGCACCGTGACAGGCAGTAATTAACAAGCCCTGAATCCTCGACAGTAACCACAGAGCCAAAAAACCTGCACTGCTGGTTCTTTTTCCTCGCCGCTGCCAGCAGGGACAGCCAGGACCTTGTGACATATTTGCTCCATCTGCTACTAGGCTTCAGCACATCAAGTCACATCGAGTTGTCTGCCAGCGCTGCCGGACCTGCGGTTTACTCGGTGCATTCCAGCTGAAGGTTTCTTTCCGCTCAGCTCCCATGCGTGTCCCTCTCAGCCCCGTCTAGCTGTGAGATTTACTTTTCTTTGCCTCTGCTACTGACAGCTGGTAAAGTATACTGTGAAGTGCAGAGTACTGTCTGGCTTGACTTCATGGGTAGCAACTCGTGTAAAAGAAGCATCAACAAGGCAAACTTATCCTCACAGGGTATGTGACCTCCAGCTGTGCTGAACAGCCTGCCCATCACTCAATACATTCCCGTCTTGTTCTACCTCTGGAATGTGCTAGAGGGACCCAGCAGGCACTCCAGAAAAGTTGCCTATGATCAAAACCCTAAAATACTGAGGTCTGGCTCTCGGAGTCCCCAAGGTAGGCAGCTGTCCAGTTGGTCACTCTGCCAGGCCCAGAGGGCAGCATGGGTTTCCCACAAGGACCTACTGGAGAGACGTCACACTCACCACTCATGTCCTCCTTCCTCTGCCTCTCCTGGGGCTCCTCTGGGAATGACAGAGATGGTGTGGGGAGACAGGCGCCAAGGGTTGCCTTACCATTTATAGAAGCTTCTCCTACACACCCCAATTAGAATTCTAATGAGGTGGGCGAGGCACCAGGTCAATCCTGTAGTGCCTGTAAACGTTTCACTTACAACATACCTGTCACCCAATGGAAGGTCATCATGCTTATGCAAGACTGGCTTGGGAAGAAGAAAGGAGATGAAAGTAAGTCAAATAGTTTGCTCTTATTGCTTTTTTTTTTTTTTTTAAGGTGAACAACTTCCTGGACCACAGGGCCTAGAAAATGATGATATGCCTGTCCAGAGCTGACACATGGAAGTCTTCTCTGAAATGTCTAGTAGAACTCAAAAACAATCATGAAGTCTCTTCTCACTGTACACATGTATTAGCATTTTCTGCTTGTGTGAGGGGGTGTGAGACACACCACAGTTTATTTGTTCAGGGTGGCAATGTAACAGATTTCAGAGTTGGAAGCCCCTGGTTTCAGTCCTGGATGGGTCCTGCTGGGTCCTCCTCCAGCCTAGAAGCTTAAAAGTTTTGTTAAGGACTGAGGACAACCACAACCATACCTTCACCTCACAAAGATGCAGGAGTAATTCAACACGATTATCAAATGGAAAGTGAACATATGTGTACCATCATGGACCAAACTGAAGGTCATACAGACTTAGTTGGCAGTTCGAATCCTGGTTAAGGGGATCACAGTCTTTTCTCATGAGGCACCAGAAATAGCCTCTGGCCTTCTGCTTCTGCCACACGCTCTCTCTAGGCCTAAAGGAGGAGTCACTGGCATATTTTGGCCTGGGTTTTTCTATCAGTCTTGAAAAGGAAATCAGGGGATCGGGGAATGACTCAGCAATTAAGAGTGCTTGCTGCTCTTCCAGAGGACCAGAGTTCAGTCCCTCTTTTGGCTTCTGTGGCCACCTCCAAACACACGTACACACAGACACACACATAAAAATATCTTTTAAAAAATAAAAATAAAAAATGAGATCAGAAGAATCATTTTCTTGTTTGTAAGCATTCTACCACTGAGCTATATGTCTAATATTCTTGACACAGCAAAAATTCCTCAGGTTTTCTCAGCACTGGAGTGGAGAAGGAGGAGTGGGTACTATGATGAGGTGGGGTCTTCAGAGAGAAGAAGACACACTTGGTCTTGAGAAGGCAAGATTAAGGAAGCAGGTGGGTTGGAAAAATTGGAAAAGAAAAAAATCAATGTCTTTTTTCTGTCATCTGTGCTCTTGTGGTCTTTTATAGATTTTAGGACCTCTATTGAGATACTTTACTGAACCAGGTGCAATGGGACACTTCTTTAATCCTAGCATTCAGGAGGCACAGGTAGGACAATCTGTGAGATCAAGGCCAGCCTGGTCTACATAAGAGTTCCAACCCAGTTGGGGCTACAGGGAGACCCTGTCTCAAAAAACAAACAAACAGACAGACAAACAAACAAACAAAAAGATACTTAGCTGGGAAAGTTGGGGTACAACTGTAATCCCAGCTCTTGAGAAATTGAGACAGGAGGATCATGAGTTCCAGTCTAGCTTGGGCTAAGCAGTGAGACCCTGACTCAAAACAAGGGCTCAGTGGTAGGACATCTGCATAAAGCACCTGATTTCAACGCCCCAGAAACAGACACAGACACACACCGGCATTGGGGTATCTCAGATATACTGTACTGTGCTGGAACTATCTGCTTAATACATCTCCATCCCTAGACTGAGCTCCTTGGAGGTACAGGCTGTATATTTTTGATCTCCTCAGAACTTAGCAGGTACTTGACCCATGGTGGGAGGCACACATCTGTTTGAATAAGTTATTTTTTAATTAAAAATTTATTATTAGTATTATTAGTATGCATGTATGTATGTTGTGGTGTGTTTATGTTTGTGTGTAGTATGCATGTGTGTGTGTGTGTGTGTGTGTGTGTGCGCGGTATGCATATTACTGTGCATGTGTGGAAACAGAAGACGGCTTTCGGAAATCCATTATCTTTTGTTGTTTCTGCCGCGCTGCTACTCCAGGCTATCTGTTTCTGCCTCTCATTTCACTCTGATTGGAGACGTCTGTCACCATGTCCATGTCCAGCTTTTTAATGTGGATTCTAGGGATCCAACTCCAACTGTCAGGCTTATGTAGCAAGCACTGTTAACCTGCCAGGCCATCTTACCAACCCTTGCTTGAATAAATGAATCAGTCACTCTAAGGACGATGATAACAAGCCCTCCGTGTAGCACTCTTGGTAGTTAATCACCTGCTAATGGCTCCATATGTGCTGCCTTTTCCCATCTTCACATAACCCCAACTTAGGCAATATTATTGTTGCTGTAGTATAGTGGGGACAAACAGATGACCCTGAGACTGTACAATTGTGACTCTAGATCTGGGTTGTTCAGCCTCTGAGGTCACTGCCTAAATGATAAGGGGCCTTGGCCTGTCCAGGGTCCTGATGGTTCTTAGAGAGGTGGCTTGGTATTCATGCATGGTAGATTATCAAGAAGAGAGCAGAGGCTTCAGAGGCATATGGAAAAGATCATGAACCCCATGGAGATGTTCAAGGTTGGCTTGGTCCCTGCTGTGAGTTCAGCTGTGGCTCTGAGGAAGGCCTTCATTGTGCAGGCTTCATCCTACCAGCAGTTCTGAGAACTCTGTATGAACCCAGTGGGATGGATGATGTAGAAGTACTTCATGTACTCTTGCACGTGGTAGAAAGAGAGGAAGAGGTTCACTTACTATTACGATTATTTTTGTTGACTTGGGAGCCAAGAGGAATTGAATCCTGGGCATTCCTTTGAATAACCAGACAAAGTAACCTGCCAGAGATGACAGGCAGATGGCCCTGCTCTCGGGGAGGAACTCGGAGTCATACAGACTTGTGTCCAAATTCTGGCTTTGTCAAGTTACCTCACCATTCAGAGCCTGTTTCATTGTCTGTAAAACTGAGGTAGAATTGCTATAAAAATGAAAAGAGTCATAAATATAAAATGCTTAATTAGCACATCCTTTGGCACTGTCCAGTGTAAGAAGTCAGTGCTGAAATTACTAAAATTATTATTATCCTTAAGGAATTGTACAGTTTTGAGTATCACAGGCTTTGCAAAGAGATCCTCAAACTTATGTTCTGGTGCTTGGCTATTAATCATGTGATCTCCCCTTGGATGAGTCTTTACCCCAGTGTAGTAGATAAATACTGGACATTGGACTCCGAAGGCCTATATACAAAGACAAGCTATGGAGCTTGCTTGCTGTGTGGCCTTGGCTGATTATTTTCACTTTGACCCTAGTCATCTCCACAGCGTGACTCATGAGCCCCCTAAGCTGCAGGGAGGTCCAGAACCACTGTTCAGTCACTGCTAGGAATCTTCTTTGAGGCATCCTTTGGGACCAGCTTCCGTTTTCCGCTTCATTGCTGCCCAGTCAGGCTGGCCAGCAACTTGTTAACTCACTAGCAGCAGAGCCCAACAGGGAGTCTGCCTAATGCTAGCTGTTGGAAGATTGCACCGTGGCAATGGCCACAGCCCCAACCTGCAGGCAAAGTATAATTACTGGCTGTGTCACAATTCCAGCTAAATGATTTTCAATTTATAGGTTGAGTCAGCTAGCTACACACAGGATGAAATTCCTGCTTGGCTGCACTCTGCAGCTCAGACTCCATGTAAGATGGGGCATGCAAATGAGGCTTTTAAAAACAGAAGCTCATTGATCACTTGCCTCCCCCTGCCCCAAATTAAGGGATTTAGGGTTGCTGAATATTTCACAACACACATAAAACACGGACTCTTAGACGTTGTCTAGCCCAGATGATCCCCCAACAGCCCTGACATACTTCTCTGGATAACTCTAGCCAGGAGACCTCACACACTTCAAATCTGTCTATGCTGTTAGTTTCTACAGGTGTTTCTGGCTGAGACCTGACTTCCCTCATGAACTCCATGAGGACTGGTACTTTGTACGTACCCAGCACTGCCCCTTTCCAAATACCTAGGACATGCTGTGGCTACTAATGAACTGGATTTAAAGTGCACTGAATGGGACAGAAAGTTCATCCTCATTTATAATGAAATTTGTCTCTCCAGAGCTCCTGTCCCCAGCCATCCTCAGCTGCTCATGTAGATATCAAATGAGACTGCTTTTCCTTCATCTAAAAATGATCACATTCTTCTTCAAGTCTAGAAACCATTCTTCTCCATCCTGAACTCTTCTAGGTTGGACAATGGCTTTTTAAAACTATTCCTAGTGAGTCTGATTAGGAAGCTTTTCATTGTCCTATTGCTCCTGTAAATCATGTTACTTCTCTTCTGAGCCTTCCATGGCTCAGTGTCTGAATTCCTTAGTCTGGCAGTCAAGGCTTTCTAGAATATGTTCATACTAATTCCATTATTTTCTGCTACCTTACATTAACTCCCTTCTTTGGAAAAGTGTGTCTAATCATTTTTCCACCTGTTTATAAAATGTGGAATATGGAACATCTCTAATCCTTATGTCTCATTGCCAAGGCCCTAAATGATCCCTGTCTTGATTATTTATGTGTGTTTTTGTGGAAAGAATTGCAGTGGATTTAGGTTTAGATCTCAGGGTCACAGTCTAACTACAGTGGGCACCTTGGGCATGCCACTTGACCTCTCCCTAAGGTTTCTCCTTGGAAATTGTGCACAATGTGCACTGCCCTCCTCCAGAGTATGGTGTGTGATCATAGGACTTTCACCAAACCCCTTGTAAATGCCAATGTTCATTGCTTTGCCCACCTCCGAGCCTTTTGAAGATTCCCTGTGTTCTTTGTTAGGTACTCGAAAATTCACACTTTAAATCTGTTAGTGTCATTTCTAGGAGTTTGGTATATAAGATGCTTCAGAAGAGGAGCATGTGTATCCACATGACAGGTCAGTATTCCTGATGGCAGATTCTGTGCTAAGAGCACCATATCTGCAAGCTTCCACATCTTTCCAGGAAATACTAATCCATTTCATAGCTAGGAAACCAGAGGCTTACAGAAGCTAAATGCC